AAGGCAAAATCCATGGAAGTTTAATGCATTTTTCTGCTGTACTGTTTCCAAAGAGCATAGTGGCGCCAATATTTTTCAAGTGGAACAACTGGGTGGGACTCTTCCTAGAGCTGCACATGAAGCCCACTTGGAATTAAAAAAATTAAAAAAAAAATAAAAAAAAAAACACCTAAAGGACTCTCAGACTTCTGAGCAATAAGATTCCCTGGTCAGACGAAATGAAGATTGAACTCATTGGGAACCAGGCACTACTCATCACCTGTGCAATACCATCCTCAATATCAAGCACAGTGGTGGAAGCTTTGGGGTGTTTTTATTTGGTTGAGGGAAAGCTGAACGCAACAAATTACAAAATTATTCGTAATGAATACCTGGAACACCGGACGGGGTTGAAGAATCACTTTCAAATGGGATAATTACCTTAAGCACCCAGACAAGACAACACCAACAGGATAATTATCCTAAGCACCCAGACAAGACAACACAAACAGAATAATTACCCTAAGCACCCAGCCAAGACAACAACAACAGAATAATTACCCTAAGCACCCAGCCAAGACAACAACAACAGAATAATTACCCTAAGCACCCAGAGAAGACAACACCAACAGGATCATTACCCTAAGCACCCAGCCAAGACAACACCAACAGAATAATTACCCTAAGCACCCAGAGAAGACAACACCAACAGGATAATTACCCTAAGCACCCAGCCAAGACAACACCAACAGGATAATTACCCTAAGCACCCAGCCAAGACAACACTAACAGGATAATTACCCTAAGCACTCAGCCAAGACAACACCAGCAGGATAATTACCCTAAGACCCTAAGCTCCCTGCTAAGACAACACCAACAGGATTATTCATCTAAGCACCCAGCCAAGACAAAACTAACAGATAATTAATCTAAGCACCCAGAGAAGACAAAACCCACAGGATAATTACCCTAAGCACCCAGAGAAGACAACACCAACCTAAGCACCCAGCCAAGACAACACCAACAGGATAATTACCCTAAGTACCCAGAGAAGACAACACCAACAAGATAATTACCCTAAGCACCCAGAGAAGACAACACCAACAGAATAATTACCCTAAGCACCCAGCCAAGACAACACCAACAGAATAATTACCCTAAGCACCCAGAGAAGACAACACCAACAGGATAATTACCCTAAGCATCCAGCCAAGACAACACCAACAGGATAATTACCCTAAGCACCCAGCCAAGACAACACAAACAGAATAATTACCCTAAGCACCCAGAGAAGACAACACAAACAGAATAATTATCCTAAGCACCCAGAGAAGACAACACAAACAGAATAATTACCCTAAGCACCCAGAGAAGACAACACAAACAGAATAATTACCCTAAGCACCCAGCCAAGACAACACCAACAGAATAATTACCCTAAGCACCCAGAGAAGACAACACCAACAGGATAATTACCCTAAGCACCCAGCCAAGACAACACCAACAGGATAATTACCCTAAGCACCCAGCCAAGACAACACAAACAGAATAATTACCCTAAGCACCCAGCCAAGACAACACCAAAGACAAGAATAATACCCCTAAGCACCCCAAGACAACACAAACAGAATAATCCCTACACCCAGCCACCAAACAGACCCACCACCCCTACAAGAGGCAACACAAACAGAATAATTACCCAAGCACCCAGCCAAGACAACACAACAGGATAATTCACCCCAAGACCAGCCAAGACAACACCAGCAGGATAACCCTAAGCCCCAAGACAACACCAACAGGATTATTCATCTAAGCACCCAGCCAAGACAAAACTAACAGATAACTAATCTGCCACCCATAATTACTCCTAAGCACCCAGAAGACAACACCAACAGAATAATTACCTAAGCACCCAGAGAAGACAAAACCCACAGGATAATTACCCTAAGCACCCAGAGAAGACAACACCAACCTAAGCACCCAGCCAAGACAACACCAACAGAATAATTACCCTAAGCACCCAGCCAAGACAACACCAACAGAATAATTAGCCTAAGCACCCAGAGAAGACAACACCAACAGGATAATTACCCTAAGCACCCAGCCAAGACAACACAAACAGAATAATTATCCTAAGCACCCAGAGAAGACAACACAAACAGAATAATTACCCTAAGCACCCAGAGAAGACAACACAAACAGAATAATTACCCTAAGCACCCAGAGAAGACAACACAAACAGAATAATTACCCTAAGCACTCAGCCAAGACAACACCAACAGAATAATTACCCTAAGACCCTAAGCTCCCTGCTAAGACAACACCAATAGGATTATTCATCTAAGCACCCAGCCAAGACAAAACTAACAGGATAATTAATCTAAGCACCCAGCCAAGACAAAACTAACAGGATAATTAATCTAAGCACCCAGCCAAGACAACACCAACAGAATAATTATCCTAAGCACCCAGAGAAGACAACACAAACAGAATAATTACCCTAAGCACCCAGAGAAGACAACACAAACAGAATAATTACCTTAAGCACCCAGCCAAGACAACACCAACATAATAATTACCCTAAGCACCCAGCCAAGACAACACCAACAGGATCATTACCCTAAGCACCCAGCCAAGACAACACCAACATGATCATTACCCTAAGCACCCAGCCAAGACAACACAAACAGAATAATTACCCTAAGCACCCAGAGAAGACAACACAAACAGAATAATTACCCTAAGCACCCAGAGAAGACAACACAAACAGAATAATTACCCTAAGCACTCAGCCAAGACAACACCAACAGGATAATTACCCTAAGACCCTAAGCTCCCTGCTAAGACAACACCAACAGGATTATTCATCTAAGCACCCAGCCAAGACAAAACTAACAGGATAATTAATCTAAGCACCCAGCCAAGACAAAACTAACAGGATAATTAATCTAAGCACCCAGCCAAGACAAAACTAACAGGATAATTAATCTAAGCACCCAGCCAAGACAACACCAACAGGATAATTACCCTAAGCACCCAAAGACAAAACCCACAGGATAATTACCCTAAGCACCCAGAGAAGACAACACCAACCTAAGCACCCAGCCAAGACAACACCAACAGGATAATTACCCTAAGTACCCAGAGAAGACAACCCAAACAGAATAATTACCCTAAGCACCCAGAGAAGACAACACAAACAGAATAATTACCCTAAGCACACAGCCAAGACAACACAAAAATGGCTTTGAGTGGCCCAGGCAGAGCCCAAACTTGAACCCAATCAAACATCTCTGAAGAGACCCAAAAATGACTGTCCATCGATGGCCCTCATCTAACCTGACAGAGCTTGAGAGGATCTGCAGTGATAAATGGTGTGCAAAGCATGTCGTATTAAAAAGGCTTGAGGCTGTAATCACTGAATACTTATGTGAATGTGATAAAAAAAATTTAACTGATCCTAACCTGCTTGCCACAACATAACCCTCAAACATGTTTTAAACTGGTCCTAACAAATCTTCCAATCCATGGAGTTTCACCTATTGACCAGTTCTAACTAAAAACAAAATGTAAAGCAATTAGCCATTGTGCTGTTTTGCTTAAAAAATTTATTAGTTTAGGAAAATGTTACATTATAAAATGTCTATAATAACAGTTTTATCTTCCTTTCGTCAGTCCAAGGAGTCATTCTTGTGACGTTATCTGTAGGAAAAATGCTAAGGAAGCTGTATTCCTAAGCCAGATGGACCACGACTAAGCCTCCAGAAATTAGTAAATTGCCTTAGTCAGAGGAGACCAGGAATCAACAGATGTATTTTTATTTTTACCATGTGTATTCTTAACGTAGATTTATTTCTGAAGGTATTAATTGTATGGATTGTCCAATTTTCTAAACCATAAACCAAAGAAGAATTTGTTCATATCCCCTGTGTATCTTTTTATTATTTTAGAATTGGAACTGGATATAGGGTTAAGGAAATGGCCCTTCTATGATGGTGTTCGATGTCCGCTTTCAATGAAAATGAGACTTACTACATCTTGATTTTGTTCCAGCGCACTTAAAACAGTCCTGTATATATTCACAATACCAATATTCAATGTTCTCTGTATGGTAGATTTTAACATTTTCAGCAACCACTAATTACCAGTTCTTACATTTATAGCATAAATAATGCCTGTAATCAGTAATGTTTTTGTTATTACCGACCTGTTGGTAAAGGATTGCGACAAGTGTGGAAACAAGCCCATGGTTAAAAAAGGTCAATGTACCAATTCTTCAAAAAAAAATAAAAAATTATAATGCTTCACTCACCAAGTAAAATGGAAAAAAGCAAAGAGGTATTATTTAGCTATTTTATTTTGATTAAAGGATGCATTACAATTGTAGATTATGCTTGCTTTATTGTACCTATAATCTTAATTTTATTAATGACAGGATGCAAATATTTTGCTTAAGTCTCTCTTTACCAAAACTCCACAGTAGCACAAATTAACTAAGAACAAACAACCAATCAGGTGACAGAGAAAATAAGTCATCCCTCCGCTCCTAGCAACTCCTCTTTGCGAACAAAGAGGAACAGAGAACAAAAGGAGAACTGGCCAAACAAACAAAATGTAAGGCAACAATAGAAGATTCAGTGACAGCTCCAGATCCAACAGGAAAGGATCTTCAAGCACAACACCTGAGTTGAACTTTAAACTGAAACGAGAAAGCAGAAAAAAAAACAGATTAATCATGGATATGGACTCAGAAAAAAAAATACAAAACAGGCCAAGGAATATACCAACAAAGCATAAACAGGCATACATACTGTAACAAACGCTGGTATTTTGTCTACCCGTTCATTTGGTTCCTCCCGAACTGCTAGGTACTTAGTGATTATAGCTCGCAGTTTGGGCGCTGAGTTGTATGTTACCTGAGAATCCCAGTGTAACATATAAATAAATTACGCTGTTCAGCGGTCACATACCCGAACATCAGTCGAGACTAGATGAAGGGTACAACAAGTTGACTTTATTATGTCACACACTGCTTTTATGCATAGCCCCATACAAGGGGTCTTCATCCCAAACCAACAGGGGTTGTATCCCAGGATCCTCTATACCTGGAAGTCAAAGCACAGGTGTAGCGGACCACGGGTTACCCGACCGGTTATCTCCACTAGTCCCCTTCCTTCAGCCGGGCAGGAACCACATAGAGACCCATTTTCCCCCAGTAGCACACAGTCCTGGACATACAACACAATTTTATTGGCCACACACAAGGGGTATCATACAAAATATACAAGGTCACCTCCCAGGATCCTCCCTCTCCCTGGGTCTCTAGCGCGGGAAGGGACTCTGTTCCCTTTGTCCCCTTCTTTCTAAGAGCCTCTGTGCCTGGGAGTGCAAAAGGGACCGTCCCTTTGTCTCCCAGGCACAGAAAAGCCTTCCCGCGGGAAAAGAGCTGGCCTCAGGTTCATGAGAGCCCACCAAACTCGCCAGTGCCCCAAAAGTGCCCACACCAATCTCAGGGACCCTCGCCTCAGTCCTTCGATCGACCAGTCTCTGTTCGCGAGGTCCTGGTGAGAAACCCAGACAAGGTAAGCGTCTCCGTTCAGAGCATTAATGCTATACGATCGGCGGCCACCCAGGGAAGCACTCATTAATTACTTCCCTTGCGTTTTCACAGCTATGTTGCATGTGCGTACGTTCTGATTAATTGGTGTGAACGTTCTAGTGGGGCATCTGGGAGGTCCTTGTCTGGGAAACGAACAAGGCAGGAAACAATCCACGAGTGCTCCCCCTGGTGGCGTTCACTTATACGAACGGCGACCACCCAGAGAAGCACTTATTAATTGTTTCCCTTGCGGTTTGCAGTTTTGACACTTAGGTTGCGAGGTGGGAACATTCTAACCTAACATTCTAAATGAGGGCTTGGGGTCTCCCACACCAAACGTCTTCCGGGCACAGAAAAGCCCGCCAAAGTGGCCGGTGCCCAAAAGTGACCCACCAACCTCCAAAACCCCCACACTGTGCATTTCCTGAATGATCTCCGTTCGTGTGGCTCCGGTGCGAATCCCGGGCAAGGGAAGCATCTCCTTTCGGGATATGAAGGCTCCCCCTGATTGGCGTTCGTCTATACGAAATGGCAGCCACCCAGGAGAGCACTCAATAATTACTTCCCTTGCGGTTTCGCACTTATGTTGCAGGTGCGAACGTTCTGATTAATTGGTGTGAACATTCTAATGGTGCACCGGGGTGGTGTCCGTTCGTGAGACGAATGGATTACATTTGTATGAACGCTCCCGAACGGGGAACAAGGCACAATACATGAAAAGCTAGGGAAAACATAATAATACAAAGGGGAAAACACACGAATGAATGAACAGGGGTTCTGCCACAGCTACCAATGATGTAGTTTCGCCACACACTCATTGGCACTGGAAGTAAACACCTAAAAAACAAGAGAGGGGAAAAAAATTGGTGGGGAAATATTTATCTCCTGTCATTAATACAATTATGATTATAGGTGCATTGAAGCAAGCATAATATACAATTTTATTATATGACTGGAGGATTCATATTTTGAGGCTTTAGCAGTCAGCCAGCAAGGCAAACGAGGTACATATAGCAGGTCGGAAATAAAACTGTCTCAAGACCAATCCAAGCATTTATGTTTTGCCACTTTAGCCTGCCACTACGGCCCCTGGATGCTGCCACAACTCTCACCGCGTGCACTCCGTAGGAAGAACCTGCGAACGACGACAACCACACGATTGTGGATGAGTCTGATTTTGTACGCCTGGAAACATAAAACACAACCCCTTCTGGAGAAAAAATAAAAGCATTGACAACAAAAGCCTGCACGTCGGACACCCGACGGAACTAAACAAGACACAAGAGTAGAACGAATTTCGCAGACAGCTGACGAAGAGAAAGATCTCTGTTATCTGACCAATCCAACAGGAAGTGAAGCACGTGGCTCACATTACATAGGCAGAAATAATAAAGAGCAGGAATGTGAGACAGATCAACAAATAATAGGTAACTGAATATAAACGAATAGAAAAGAATATTATAATAAAACTTGTTATAACAGGGCTGCTTCACAACACAAGAGCGGCTAAACAATTTATTGAACAAAAGAAAAATATAAGTGTGTGAGCGCTCCAAGAAACTCAAGAATAACTCCAGCAAAGAGAGATTTAATAATCTCAACCACAGAAATACAGCACTTCTAAATAATATGCAAAAATAAATATGTATAAGAAATACAGTGTCTATTGCTGTCCAACTATATGACTAAACACAAACAGCAGCTTGATCAACAGAACTGTTTAAGGTAATAGACAACGTAACTCCTAAAATGTTACAAAGACCTATTAATACTATAGTGCCAGGAAAACGAGTTTGTTTTCCTGGCACCATAGTGGTCCTTTAAGCAAGCAAAGCAGGAAGGGGAATTGGATGTACTTGTTCATCTAGGGACAAATGACTTGGCTTGCAATGAGGTTTCATAGGTTAAGAAAGTTTTTAGTGTTTTTGCCAATGATATACGGCAGGTTGCTTCCACACTGTCATTCTCTGAAGTTCTGCCTGTGCATAACACTTAGAACGATAGGCGGATGCGTATTAGGGACTTTAGATTGTGGCTTGGTGAATGGTGTTGGGAGCAAGGATTTTACTTTATTTCTCATGGTAGCTCTGTTTGGAATGGAAATAAACTGTACAAAAAAGACGGTTTGCACTGTAGCGGATGGCCATGAGCTGCCCTGGGACTTGTATTATGTTTAACCTGTGTTCGTCTATTTGCTAAATGTATATGCAGTAAGGGGATGCATTCGTGTAAAATAGCAAAATTCTATGTGCTAAATGTATTGTATTCGTCTGAATGTTAGGTAGTTTCATTCCCTTAGTTTGTTCGAATGAAACTACCGAACAGTCAGACCTCCCCTGTGTGAAGTGTGCCTTCAATTACCCATTTCAACATTGTTGTGAACGGGTAATTGACAAGCTGTGTAGCAATCCTTTGTTCTTGGGAGTGGCCGCCATTCGGGAAACGAACACATGGCGGCGGCCATCTTAAACTCCCGAACACCGGTGTTTTGCCGTCGAGTGTCTGGAACTCAAAATGGACACTCGACTAGGCTAACACCGGTCCGTTCGGTTCCAAACTACCGAACGGCTCCTCGTTCGGTAAGCATAATCAACCGAACGAGGGGATTCAGGCGAACCCTCTCCAGCCTCTATAACTGGAGGCTTTCAGGTACTTCATTCGCCTTTTCCAGGACCAAGCGCAGGGCCCAATCGCATGGAGCCCAATTCGGCTAATTCATCCAGTGCGGTTGGTCATTTTATTCCCTCCATGAAATTCCCGAACCCCTGGTCTGATCTGGGTGATTTTTGGATATGTTGTTCACCCAGATCAGGGCTACCAGGGGATGCATAATTTAAAGTGGTACCCCTAGGTTTAGGGGTACATCCAGAAATGGGGGGAATTGCTGTACTGGATAAGGGGATTATGATGCCGGCTGAGGGGAGGAGATGTGTGGGAGGTTACCAGGACAGGATTGGCTATTGTGTTAATGAATGTAATCCCTCCCTTGCATGGGAGCATGCTTTAAAAGGCCACTGTGGAATAAAGCTTTGAGTTCTGCTCCTGATGCTGTGTGTCGTCCAGTCATTGGGATTGCTGTGGGGATACTATTGGATTATTTTTCCTGTTGGAAACCCTGCCTGTGGATTTATAAGTTACTTGTTCCTGAGCCTCACTGGGATCTTAAGCGGAGATAATCTGTGGAATATTGTATCTCCGCTACATTGGTTGGCAGCGCTGGGATCCAGACTCACAGAGGAACAAGCATAAATGGAGTACGGATTGAGATTGATTAAAAACGCTCCACGTTAAATGACCTCCTGGAGGCAAGGGGTATCCAAGCCAGCAACAAGAAGAAAGCGGTACTCATTACTGAACTCATGGCAGAGTACCGAATGGATGGCGATTTGGTTCCCGAACAGGGGGATTCGGGAGAAAAACAGGAACAGATGGAGTTCCTGAGGCAGCTACAATTTAGGCTGTCTTTTTATGGGGAACACCCTTCAGCGGAAATTTCCAAGACCATGTCAGAGGTCCAGAAATTCATCTTAAGAAAACAGACAACAGCAGCCCCAGAACGCAGCTCTGCCACAAGAAGGTAAGCCTAAAATACCATACCAGGCTTTTAAAATGTATGTGGAGGCAGAGGAAGATATAGACGCTTTCCTGCAAGATTTTAAGAGACTGTGTGCACTGCATAGAATCAGTGCAGAGGACTGGGTACCTATTTTGGCAGGAAGGTTAACTGGGAGGGCAGCAGAGGCATATCATACTGTACCCAATGAGGAAATCCGGAATTACAATAAAGTAAAAGAAATTATACTGGCCCGGTATGCTATAACACCAGAAGCATACCGGCGGAGATTCCAGGATTTAAAGAAAGTGGAAAAGGACTCACATGCAGAGTGGGCATGCAGGTTACAAAGGGTGGGTGCAAGCGAGCAAGGCAGGTCCATGGAGGATGTAATACAGATGATGCTGATGGAGCAATTTTATGAGGGAGTAACCAACGATGTCCAGGAGTGGGTAAGGGACAAAAACCCTACCTCCCTCACCGAAGCTGCCAGGAAGGCAGATGAGTACCTGGACGCACGTAGGCAGCAAAAACCTGCAGCTCCAAAAGCCGCATTCAAAACCTTTGGGGGAACTAACTACACCCCAGCTCCACCGTGGCAACTACCACCACCACCCGCTGCACAGCCACGTTTCCGCCAGCCCACTTCTGGGCCCTGTCACCACTGCCAGAAATGGGGCATTATAAAAGGGAATGTCCTCAACTACGAGATCGTACCTCGTGGATCCGTCCTGGCCCGCCACCACCACCGAGGGCCGCCACCGCACACTGCTACCAGGACATCATTGCTACCCCGTATGGCTCAGCAGTACCTATTACCACTGTGGAGCAATGGGAGGTATTGCACGAGGCCGATCCGGTACAGGCGAATGCGGACAACAGACAGCACCACAGACAAACCGTGTACCTGGAGGGAAATGCAGTGCAAGGACTTCGGGACTCTGGGGCCACTATTACTCTGGTCAAAAGCCATTTGATGGCCGCCGCCACGTGTTCGTTTCCCGAATGGCGGCCACCCCCGAGAACAAAGGATTGCTACACAGCTTGTCAATTACCCTTTCGCAATGTTGCAACGGGTAATTGAAGGCACACTTCACACAGGGGAGGTCTGACTGTTCGGTAATTTCATTCGAACAAACTAAGGGAATGAAACTACCTAACATTCAGACGAATACAATACATTTAGCACATAGAACTTTGCTATTTTACACAAATGCATCCACTTACTGCATATACATTTAGCAAATAGACGAATACAGGTTAAACATAATACAAGTCCCAGGGCAGCTCATGGCCATCCGCTACATGCACCTTTCTCAAAAGGGAACAAATGTTCTCAGTGAGCAGTTCAAAGGTTTTGCTTGGATGTATTTAAACTAGGAAGGGGCGGGGGCAAAAGGTTGATAAAACATCAATGCAATTGTCCCCCAAAACAAGGACAGAATGTGCCTGTAGCAAGTTTGTTAAAAAATGATAAGCTTGGAGTCTACAAATGCTCCCAGCCTAGGGAATAAGATCCATGAACTTGTGGCAATAATGGCAACTGATAGTGTAAATTTAGTCGCTGTTACTGAGACATGGTATAATGAGAACAATGACTGGGACATAGCAATACCAGGATACTCTTTATATAGAAAAGACAGGGAAGGCAAGTAAGGTGGTCCTGTATGTGAAAGATAGCATAAAATCTAGCCTAATAAAAGTTAGTGAGGCGAACGTAGAGTCCGTTTGGGTTACGTTAGAATTTGGTAATCACACAGTAACTTGTGTAGGTGTGATTTATAGGCCCCCAGGACAAATTGAAGAGTTAGATAATCTACTAGATGAAGAACTAGCTAAAATGACAATGAAGGGGGAAGTTATCATCATGGGTGACTTTAATCTTCCTCATGTGAATTGGAAAACAAAAATAGCTGCTTGTGCCAGGAGCACACATATTCTAAACTCCCTACTGAGACTGTCTATAAAACAAGTCATTAAGGAACCAACTCATAAGGAGGCCATACTAGATTTACACCCTGTTCCAAATTATTCTGCAAATTCTATTTAAGTGTCACTAAGATTAAATATTTTGTTTTTCAGTTTAACTCATGGATGGCCTTGTGTCTCAGGGCTCTTTTGATCACTGAAAACAATCTCGGACACCTGTGATAATTAGATTGCCAGGTGAGCCCAATTTAAGGAAAAACTACTAAAGGAGGGTGTTCCACATTATTAAGCAGAGTACCATTTTCATGTAATATGGGGAAGAAAAAGGATCTCTGCTGCCGAAAAGAGTGAAATAGTTCAATGCCTTGGACGAGGTATGAAAACATTAGATATTTCATGAAAACTTTAAGCGTGATCATCGCACTATTAAGAGATTTGTGGCTGATTCAGAGCACAGATGGGTTCGTGCAGATAAAGGCACATTGAGGAAGATTTTTGCCAGATCCATGCATCGGATCAAGAGAGCAGCTGCTAAAATACCATTACATAGCAGAAAACAGATATTTGAAGCTGCTGGTGCCTCTGGAGTCCCACTGACATCAAGGTGTAGAGTCCTCCAGAGTCTTGCAACTGTGCATAAACCTTCTTCTATTCAGCCACCACTAACCAATGCTCACAAGCAGAAACAGCTGCATTGGGCAGAAAAATACATGAAGACTAATTTTCAAACAGTCCTGTTCACTGATGAGTGCCGTGCAACCCTGGATGGTCCAGATGGATGGAGTAGTGGATGGTTGATGGATGGCCACCCTGTTCCAACAAGGCTGCAACGTCAGCAAGGTGGTGGTGGAGTCATGCTTTGGGCCGAAATCATGGGAAGAGAGCTGGTCAGCCCCTTTAGGGTCCCCGAAGGTGTAAAGATGACCTCTGCAAAGTATATGGAGTTTCTGACTGACCACTTTCTTCCCTGGTACAGAAGGAAGAACTAAGCTTTCCGTAATAAATTCATCTTCATGCATGACAATGCACCATCTCATGCTGCAAAGAATACCTCTGCATCAATGGCTGCTATGGGGATAAAAGGAGAGAAAGTCATGGTGTGGCCTCCATCCTCCCCTGACCTCAATCCTCAAGCAAAAGATCTATGAGGGTGGGAGGCAGTTTACATCCAGACATCAGCTCTGGGAGGCTATTCTGACATCTTGCAAACAAATTCAAGTAGAAACTGTCCAAAAACACAAGTTCAATGGATGCAAGACTTGTGAAGCTGCTATCAAATAAGGGGTACTATGTTGAAATGTAACGTGACCTGTTATAAGTTTGATTGAAATAGCTTTTGATTTCAGTAAATATGCTGCAAACACAACAAATGACAATTTTCAGTTCTTTACAACCTACAAAGTGTTTTGAAACTTACTGTGCATAATAATTTGGAACAGTGCATTATAAGTTTATGTTTAAAAAAAATACTGTTATCAGTAGGAGGTTTGTTCAATAAAATTTGAATTGTACTCTTAATAGTTGATAACATGAGAATTATGCTGACTGCTATTTACATCAATTATTTAACATATCATTTGCATAATAATTTGGAACAGGGTGTAGTGTTAAGAAATGGAGATTTGGTATCAGATATCACTGTAGGTGAACGTTTAGGATCCAGTGATCATCAGTCAGTGTGGTTTAATATAAGAACAGTGACGGAGTCAAACCACACAAAAACAAAAGTTTTAGACTTTAGAAAAACAAACTTTTCTAAAATTAGAATATGTGTAAAGCAGTCATTATCAGACTGGATCAATTTAAATGGAGTCCAAGAGAAATGGTATTTAAAAGTTGATTGCTGAAGGGAACAGAAAATTGCATTTGGCTTGTCAGTAAAAGCAAAAAATTCAAGAAACCACTGTGGTACTCCGCAGATGTGGCCAAAATATATTTTAAAAAAGTTTGCATTTTGTAATTATAAAAAAAAAACCAGAGTGAGGAAGACAGAATGATCTATAAGATTAGGCAGAAAGAGGCTAAGCAAATTATAAGAGCTTCCAAATCACACGTAGAAGAGAAAATAGCACAGTCAGTAAAAAAAACATTTTTTAGATACATAAATGAGAAAAGGAAAGTAAAAAAGGTTTAGTTATATTAAAAACAAAAGAAGGGGGCGTGGCTTGGGAGCAACACGGATGGTCGCACTGATCTGAGCTCCACAAAATGCTAGCCTGAAAAAGTGACGATTAAAGCAAATTCCGGCTATCAAATTGACCACCCTACACCCCTTGACATGTCTAACCTGAAGCAGAAGATGCAGGCAGATAAGATGTACTGTTCCGGTTTTTTCACGACTCGAGTGTCGACGCCGAAAAACACAGGCCTAACAGATCAGGACCAAGATGGCGATGGCGGGAACGACACATTGCCGCTACAAAACTCCCCTAAGCCTCAAAACCTACCTGTAACCCAGGATTTCTTGCAGAGCTGTCTGGAGGATATGTCCAGCAAAATTCTGGCTTCCCTACAAGGTACCCTGAGGGAGATCTGCAAGGATGTACAGGAGCTGGGGGACAGGACAGCACGTGTGGAACAACACATGGAGGATCAAGCTTCCGCTCACAATGACATGGCTGACCAGGTGCAGAGCCTACAGCAACAATTAGAACACACACAGCGCAAGATCATGGACCTAGAAGACCGCTCACAATGCCAAAATCTACGAATCTGGGGCATACCAGAGGAGGTGATGCAGCAAGACCTCCACGAGTACTTGATAGGGTACTTCAAAGAATTGGCGGCAGATTTACCCGTAGAGGTGTTACTCTTAGACAGATACCACTGGTACAAAAGCTGACGTTCCTACCGCAAGACACCCCCAGGGACACGCTCACCCACCTGCATTACTTCCATGTGAAGGAAGCCACGAGAGTGGGAAGAGATCTGCCGCAAAAATACAGAAACATCAAAGTATTCACAGACCTGTCAGCAGCCACGCTGCAAAAAAGGAAGGAATTCAGTGAAACAACAGAGGCACTGCGCTACAACAACATCCAGTACAGATGGGGATACACGATTTGCCTTCTGATTAGGATAAATGGCACGGTGACAACAGTCAACACCCCTGAGGAAGGCTGAAAACTGCTGCGCAGCTGGAACATTACGCAACACCTGGAGGGAAGGAGCACAGCCATATAGAACAGAATGGAAAAGAGCAAGAAATGAACTGGTTTCTTGACACATTGACCGAGTTGCGGAACCTGACACAGCACTAGCTGCAGTTGGGCAGACACCGAGCTGCAAGTATAACCTACACGTTGCACATGACATAAGTTTACCTACACCCCACCATGCACACATATAATGTTAAGATGGCATGCCATTATGCCTGGCATCCCTCTTGGGACCCCCCGTGACAAAGTTGCCAAAAGGGGGGGCAACTACAGTCATAACCTAAACGTGCTCCTAACTCCTCCTTACTTATATAAACACCCCTCATAGCACTAGCCGGATGGCACGCAACCGAGACAGAGCTTTACACAAGCCACACGACAGTGAGTATCGGGCCCAGCGTGCTCACCCTACACCTTAATACTCTAAAAACCTGACACAGTAACCACGCTCCCACCCGGCACCATCTGATTGGTGCCTTACCTTTCAGTGGGAAAGGTTTACACATGTTATTGAAATTGTATATTAGACTGTAATGACAGTTCTATTAGACTGTTATGAATGTTTGCATTACTGTTTTCTTCCCCTTTTACCCCTCCAACGGACAGGAAATAACCCCCAGCGTAAACTCCAAAGACAGGGATCATGGAAATCATGGGGAGGTAGCAGTCCATCAGGGGAGATCACAATGGGACCCGCCAGTCACCCAGGTACCAAGTAGCACAAGTGACACACATGCCCGCAGATGACAGCCAGATGGGAGTGGGGAGGGTAGCCCCACAGAACCTGTTAGCGACATTAACGATACACAAGTCAACAGAAAGATTCAGCAACCTTTAGTAAAACCCTATAGACTATGAAAATATACTGACATAACGTAAAAGGGCTGAACATTCCTGTAAAACGATACTACCTGGTCAGAGACCTGCGCAAGGTACGCCCAGACGTTGTGTGCCTGCAAGAAACCCACTTTAAAAAGGCAACCACTTTCGCACAGGCACAATACCCCGTAGAATACCATAGCACTTCCACGTCTAAAACTAAGGGAGTCTCAATCCTAATCAGCAAAGACGTGTCTTTCGAGCTGCTAAACGAGTCCATAGATAAACAGGGGAGATATATAATATTAGTCTGTGAAATCAACAACCTAGAACAGGGGTAGGCAACCTACGGCACTAGTGCCTTTGCACGGCACTCAAGGCTGCTACAGCCAAACAGGCTCTGGCCTATCAGGAGTCCCAGTGAAACCTCAGATATCTTCTAATACGAAAAGGTGGTAAAGGACAATCCTCAATTTATGCATTGCAGATCACTTCCTCCCAACACTTGTGAATGGGAATCCACAATGTAGTAGAGCAGCCTGCAGCTGCTGTTGCAGCTCCTGTCCTTGACCTGTACCTGGCCAGCTTGGTCCCCACTGGAACCCAGGGAAGCCACCCACACTGCTAGATTTACACAGAAATGCACAATAACCCTCCCCTCATACAAATAATACTAACAGCCCACAAACAAACATATATACAATCCGCGCAAACGTAACCCGCTAACAATCCACATACATGCACACAACCCCACATGCAGCCTTGCACATGCAATACCCCAAACAGCCCCACACATACACACACTTTCAAACACACAATGTGACATATCCATCCACACACACACACACACAATTCCACAAGCAGCCCCCAGAATACGGCAGCATACACACCTCAATTTAAAAAAAATAGGACCGGCACATCACAATCCTATATCGGCACAGTGCTGCTAAAAGGTTGCCTACCCCTGACCTAGAACACACAATAGTCAACCTATATGCACCAAACACTAACCAAAAGAACTTCCTACACAAACTAATAACTCAACTCTCGCCAGTCCAGAGGGAAGTCACAATAGTGTGTGGCGACTTAAACCACATACTGGACTCCACAGTACCACCTAACACTTCTAGATCTGCCACCCTCACAAGGGAATGCAAACCGTTAACACGTTTGCTCAGCGAGCATGACTTTTATGATGCGTGGAGGGTGCTGCACCCCGAAGAACGGGAGTATACCTTCTTCTCCCAGGTACACAATACCTACTCACGCATAGACGGGTTCTATATAAAGGGCACATTCCTCAACCAATTAACAGACTGCTGCATAGGCACCATCACATCCTTGAATTGCAAGATGCCTATGACTACAGGCACCGCAGCCGATGGCGACTTAACAAATCCCTATTAAGCGATCTGCAATTCTGCAAACACCAAGCCACTGACATTAAACATTACTTTGCCACAAACCAGAGTCTGGAAATCACACCAGAAACCCTTTGGCAAGCACACAAACCAGCAATCAGGGGACTATTCATAGGGAAAACTAGCACACAAAAACAGAAATCCCAAACGAAACTGAAAGCCCTATACCACCTGAATAAACAAAACCAATTAACCCCGACTCCAACATTAAAAAAACAAATCAAATTTTTTTAGCAGAGATCAAGGAACACGATTTAACAAAAATGGGATTAAGCCTACGGAAACTCAAAGCAACGCTCTACACTCAAGGGAATAGGGCAAGTAAATTACTAGCCAGGAGGTTGTCACACAGAAGCGCAAGCACAAAGATCCCATACATTCTAAACTCGGCCGGGGAGAGGAAGGTAACACCCAAGGACATCGGAGATGTTTTTGCAGAATACTACACAACCTTATACAACCTAGGGAAGGACCCTACCACACCACTGCCGACCCCAGCGAGTATAGAACACTATCTAGAAGGGATTTCCCTACCTTCCCTAAGCTCCTATCATGGACGAGGAAATCCTCCGGGCCATCTCACGCCTCCCGAATGCACGACTCACCAATGCCTATTACAAAAAATTTGCGCACACTTGAGCTCCACACCTAGCCAACCTATTCAATGCCTCCACTCTCAAAGCAGAGGCGCCCGCAGACATGCTAGGAGCCCACATCAGAACGCTACCTAAACAGGGGAAACCACCCACATGTAGCCAAAACTTTAGGCTGATATCACTGCTCAATAAAGACACCAAATAGTACGCAAAAGTACAGGCCACCAGGCTAACCCATATCCTTCCCACACTAATAAACGACGACCAGGTAGGCTTCACCACAGGTCGGCAAGGGTTTGACAACACGAGGAAAGTAATTGGCTTAAAGCACAGTCTACTTAGGAGCCAAGAGGGGGGCGTACTTCCCTCCTTGGATGCCGAAAAGGCTTTTGATCGCCTTAACTGGAAGCAGCGCTCCGCAAATACAACTTCCCTTAAACATTCATAAATGTGGTACGGGCACCATATTCACACCCCACAGCCAGGGTCCTCGACGCAGGTTTTGTATCCAAGCAAATCACTATCACCAATGGGTCTAGGCAAGGCTGCCCCTTATCCTCAGTGCTCTATATACTAGCACTGGAACCACTGGCAGCATCCATAAGAGTGGAGCCATCCATACATGGCATCACCTTAGGAGATAGAGAATATAAGCTTAATCTGTTTGCCGACAACATCCTAGTAACGATCACACAGCCCCTAATCTCCCTGCCAAACATGATGACGCAAATCCAAGCATTTGGAGTGGTCTCATATTACAAGCTAAATGTCACCAGGACGCAGGCTTTGGGGATGCAATTAGGCGATAGTCTAGCGAGCAGACTGAATACAGCCTTTCCTCTGGCCTGGAGATACGACTACCTGACATTCCAAGGACGTAAACTCCCCAAAAACCCAGCCCACCTGTTTAAGCACAATTATGTGCGCTTACTTAAAGAATTCACAGACTCCATTCAGGCATGGAAAGGGCGCTTTCTATCCTGGACAGGCCGCATAGCGGCGGTGAAAATGTCACTTATCCCCAAAATCCAATATCTCTTCCGAACACTGCAAATACCCATCCCGAAACAATACCTGAAAAACATGCAGCACACCGTCAATTCCTTCATATGGGAGGGGAAAAAGGTAAGGGTGGCAAACAGTGCACAGGGGAGGATTGGGCCTCCCAAACTTAACAGACTACTACAGGGCAGCTTATCTCCACAACATAGCACAAATTAACCTACCAGCCCACACCCCCAATGGGTGGCAACAGAATCTCACTGGTCCCCCTGGAGAGACCTCCTGGCAGTCTTATGGCTGCAGACATGCCCCAGACACATTCATGAAGCCCTCCTGCCCAACACCCAAACCCTACTATGAATGTGGGGCATGATCAGGAATAAGCTAGTGACGAGGCCACCACTACCCCTGGCCATACCAATACAAACAATAGGACTAGAGATCCCTACCTTCCCCTGGGAAACCTGGATGAGAAGGGGAATACACCACATCTACCAAGTTATCGACAGGGGCCGACTGAAACCACTCCCAACCATTCAAGCCGACCATGTCCTACCCACTAAGGTGATATTCTCCTACCTACAGCTCAAATCTTATGTGACAGATAAACTAGGAGACCAAATGGGCTCCGATGACACAAACCCATGACAAACTTCGAGAAACAATGTGTAGGTACCACACCACTCAAAAAAACAATGTCGTGGGGATACCAGGAGTTAATTTCGACACAAGCACACACGCTAAAAAGGATTAAGTTAGCATGGCTCCCGAAATAGACCAGACAATCCCAGACAGAGACTGGGAAAAGGCTTACTCAGCCCACCAAGGGCTCACAACCTGCACCAC